TACATGCTCTACAAAATGCAAAAAAGAATGGGTCTCTAGCATTAACGGTTCCCGAATTAGAGACAGTTTTCAGTTTCGGTACTTTATGGCCGCTACTCCCGTGAAAATGCACCGATTGACCCCAAATTCACGGAGATGAAAGATGACCCGAAGGGTAACACTTTCCAATAATATTATTGGTTAAGTCTGTGTGGTGTCTGAATAACAGGGCAAAAAAAATTTTTTTCGTAAAAAATTTCATTTTTTTGAAAATTTTGGCCCGTTTGACCTTGAAATAAAGGTCAAAGGTCAAATCCAAGGGCATATTTGAAATCTACACATATGACTTTTGGAAAGCTGTCTGTAAAATTTTTCCCATAACTCCTTCCGTAGGGTAGATAATTAGCATTTAATTTTGCCATTTTTAGACAAGGGTGCATTGCAATGAGTGCCACACCTAGACCCCAATACCGACAAAGCCCAAATTTTACGTGGAACGAGTTGAGATTATAGGTGACCTAAATCCAAGAGATGGGTACAGGGGCCCTTACCGTCTAGGAGGAGAAGCGGTAACAGTGACTTGGCGGCGGAGCCGGCGGAGCCGCAGGAGCCGCAGGAGCCGGCGGAGCCGGCGGAACATACGGGTCGGGACTAAAACCATGGGTACCGCCAGCGCCTACGCTGGTGGTACAATAAAAGCAAGCTTTTGGTTCTGGAATGATATGACATGTGAAGACTATGGTCTCACTTGAAAGATTGAGACGAAGATTAAGTCTTTCAGTTATTAACCTGCTTGTCTATGCTTAAACAAAACAAATAACTCCCATTTGTGCTGTTGTTATGCAGAAACCATGATGACCATAACTTTGATTACCTGCTCCGTAATTAACACAGACAGGTGTCTGTACTTCTTGTTGATTTTGCTACCCAGCGTCATGAACCTTAGGAGGAACACGGACAGGGCCACAAACCACACAATCACCTCCCAGTTATAAAGGTGCTTTGGGTACTCCTCACTGTCCTTTAGGAGCTACAAAGAAAACACACTTTTAGTTTGGGTTACTGATAGTATCGGCAGTATAGATGAGATAAAACAATAATCATTATCATGGCAATTTAAAGGTTGTACAGGAAATATTTAAAAATGTTCCAAGGGCATATTTTCTATGTCTTAATATCCTGTAAATGAGAATTTTTCAGAGTGGAAAGAAGTTGATTACCTTGACTTGGTTTGTGTAATTTAAAAGATCTACTGACAATGGTCATAATATATCTTGAAGGTAAATTAATAGTAATACTAGTCTGCAAATATCTGAAATGTTCCCAAGTCATATATTTTATGTCTAAATGCCATGCAAAGAAATCCAAGACCTGGAAGTGATAAAACCCCTCAATTTAAAGTATGGGGTGTTGATATTTCCTTCTGATGTGAAGAAGTGGAAGACATTGGGGCCTGAATATCAGGCTGTTCATATAGAACTAAGTCATTTAATGTGAAATGGTATAGAACATCAAATCCAAGTGCACAGACAGCAATAGCTATCAGTGTTAGAAATTAAGGCTGAACCGTCTGCCCGGGGCTGACAACTGTCAGAACAGGCTGAGATGTTTTCCTACCTGGCAGACATTCAGTCCAGCTACTTTTCAAGATGGCTTTACTTTCAGTCCAGCAACTAATTTTCCAAAGAGGCAAACACTGATAGCTATGATACAGGAGTTGGAATGCTGCTGACATTAACTTACCTGAAAAGACATCAGAGCCACTAGGATGATTTCAAGAAGAAATGCTGCAGACACTATCACATCCACTGAACGCTGAGGACCTCGTTTCTGGAACGAGAAGTAGAAATATAGTGCATATATTACGTCACAGTGTAGTATGATACAAAAACATTATGATTTGAAGATTATCATGTTCAATTACTTTTGATTTTTACTTCAAGAGTAAGGATACACTTTGGAGAAATATTAAGATAGCATCATAATATGGTGCTACATGTATCCTTTAAAGTCAACATGACTAAAAACACTAAGTGGCACAGACATATACCTACCTTTATGTAGGAGCGCAGTGACAACCATGCCTTTATGTTCCTCACTTTATTGAGGCGGAAATGCGGGAGATCATATTTCTTAGCTCGGCGGGTGGAAGTGAGGTAGCAGAAATGTTTAGCGTACATCAATCGCTGAAACAAATAAGAAAAATAAACAAAAATAAAATAAATGAATAAAATAAAATAAAAATAATAATAAAATAAAATAAACAATACTGTCATATAGCCTCTTACACAATACAAAAATTATCTAGTGAACCAGTAATATTGAACGTTTGAAAAATTCTTGTGGACTCAAGAAAACGATTAGAGCAAAAGCTGACTGAAATGTGATTTGATTTATTTGTTGTAAATATCAAAGAAAAGGAACTGATTTCTACTGCACTGCCTTGTTGTTTCACACTTTAATGGATTGTGCTGTGCATAATCTATTTTTAGGGACTTTTCCCAGACCCAATCATACTAAATGTGGATGGTTCTATATCTGAGGGGTTTCTTGCTAAATTGCAATCAGCTTTAGCCGCTTAGATGTCTGTCATGCCTACAGAAGTTGCTAGGGGGTGATGAATTATTAAGCAGCTTCAGTAGGGGTGACAGACAACTAAGCAGCTTAAGCTGAATGCAATTTAGCGAAAAAAAAAAAAACCTCTGCGATGGATTGATCCTGTTAGATCAATCTAGATATGGGAACCCAGTCTTATTCCTGGGTGTATTATCTCTTCTATGCCCATCAATAAAATATTATTTAGATTTATTTCAGAACTACCGTCTTTCCTGATATGATTACTATACTATGGCTTACCCTGAAACTTCACCAGATCATTTCTGAAATCATTAGTAAATAATACAAAGGTAATAATTAGTAAATTGTAAAAAGCCTTTCTGAATTAATATTTGAAATAATTAAAAGAAACAACAATTATGAAAGTTAGTGGGCTATTACCTGTTTAAATGTCCTTTCTGCCACAGACAGCAAGAAAAAGAAAATAACACACAGCACCATGCGTTGTAAAACTCCATTGAGAACAACAAATATCACCCTGCAAAACAAACCAAAACCAAACCAACTGTGACTGCAAATAAATAGGAAATACCAGTGCAAAATGTTTTATTTAAAAAGAAAAGGTACATTGAAACAGACCGTGTGAGGGATCAGTTCCCAAAAGGGGAAGGAGCAGAAAAGAGAAGGGACAGATGTATTATCGCATCTTAAAAACATTCTTTTCAGAATTGTGGAAAAAGGCAATATAGAATCAGTTTTATTATTTCTGCTGTTACAGTAAGGTATATTATGATCACTATTACCAAAGTTTTGTCTTTAATCTTTAATCGTCATTATTGAAGTTTTGCGTTTGGAAACCTCTTCTTATTTCTACATCCAATATCATTATTATACTAATTTTTCCATAAGTTTTTTTTCCACAAAATCCAATGCGCCACCCACCTCCAGTGAGAGCCAAACAAGTCTGCTGCTAGGAGGAACCAGCTCTTCATGGATGTATACTCCAGCGCCCCCTTGTGGAAATACCACCTAAACCCCAGAGGGATGAAGGCCAGGACCAGAGAGACCCAGACACCGATGCTGATGAAGTCACGTGACTCTTGTTGGGCGTCAACTTTCTGTATAATAGCACAGCCTAAGTCTAAGGTTGACAGGTCGAGTTTTTTGGTATCATTGCCTTCCCAAACCACGCAGCTTACTAAAATGTCAAATGAAAATAAATAAATAAATAAATAAATAAATAGTAACTAGATTTGAATCCATTTGCTATGTGTTCTATGAGCTCAACAGGGAAGAATCAGCTCTTAAAATGTCATGAAAACAAAACACAATAAATCAATAAATAAAATAAAAAATTAAATAAATGAAGCAATAAAAAATAACTAGATCAATTTATTAAACTTTTAACTTGCAATTTTACATTTTGCATTGCAAATACTCTCGGGCAGAAGGGGGGGGGGGAGGGGGAAGAGAAGCAGCACTGATATACAACCACATCTTTTCCAAGTAAATTTATTCTTACAAGACCAAACCTCTCACCTCTATCTATGGGAGTGGCCAAGTCATTCAATGGAAATGATGGCTGAAATGAGACAACAGGTATGTTAAGATTGCAGGACTACCTGACCAATAAAGAGAGAGAGAGAGAGAGAGAGAGAGAGAAATATGCTGGAGGAAGAAAAAAGGTGAAACAAAGGAAAATCATTAGCAATGTTGTGATAACATCAGTGACAGAATGAAAATTACATGAAATAATTACACCCTCAAAATGAGTACCTTCACTCTTTCTTTTTCTACATTTCTCATACATGTACACACACACACACACTCACATGTACACACACACACACACACACAGCCTACATACCAGACCACAGCCAAATGGGTCATCATGTAGCGTGACTCCCCCCTCAGAGTCTGAAGTACAGCTACTGGTGTCACTGGTGGCCACGTCAGAGTGCATGTTGTCATCCCAGTCCATCTCAGATATCTGACCCTAGAGTAATAAACAGGCAAACTTTTACTTCTAACTACATTAAAGATATTCTCCAGGCACTTGAATATATCCCAATCATATTAATTTTAAATAGTTATCTCTCTCTCTCTCTCTCACTATGTCAAAAGTGCACAGGTATTAAACTTCTCACCACATGAAATTTATATTAAAATCAGTTGTCTGGTACAAAACTTTCATTTTTTTATATTTAAGGTTTAGTACCTCTAGTAGGTTGTTTCTGCCTTTATTTTTATTTATTTTTTTATTTAACAGCCATTCTCAATAAGATATGGATGAACTTTGACAAAATTTTCAAGTTACCTCAGACAGGGGCTCAATGAGAGTCAATTACATTTTGGCAGTGGTCCATTCATTAAATCATTGTTAATAAGCAATTAATGGATCCATAATAAGAACTGAGCTATCTTGGCACAGCTTTCACTCTCTCAATTTCTGTTTTTTAATCAAAGTTAACATAAATATACAATGCCGTAAACCTTACATGAGTCCAGGTTTTAGAAAAAAAATCTGAACATTAACTGTGGAACCAAACACTTTATGTTAATTTTTGGGGGTTTAATTGCTCTGGGGTCGATTAAAAAAACAGAATTTCCCTGATTTTGCAGAAAAATCTAATGTGACAGTCTGATAAACCTACAGACTTTACCTTAGATAAAGCAGGTGTATTAGGAGTAGGGCAGTCTGGATCAGAATCACAGGAGCTCATCACTCTTGTATCATTACTCTGCTTTAAAAGCAGTGTCTCGGGATGTCTTGGACGGTTTCTACTGGACAGAGCTGACCTCAGCTGGACACTTGACCCCGCATCGCTGACCACGTCAATCTTTTGGTTACTCTTTCTCCTTCGTCTGAGATTCATCCCAACCAGGTTGCGTTTCTTAATCCCAACGAGGTCAATTTTCCCACAATGCATCTCCTGGTCTGAAAGGGGGATGTATTCCGTTTTCGGCCTGGTGCAACTACCTGCCCCGTTTCCAAAACTTATGTGAGGGGAGTGGCCGGCATTTTCGTCACCTTCCACCATATCTGGTGTCCCAGATCCCAAGACACCACTCGTGGCGCCATCTGGTGGCAGGTCTATAGGGACATCTTCCAAGGGCTCGGAGTTCAATGTTATCACGGGGTCAGGGACGTGTGCTTTATGTTCTGGACACTCTTTTTCCTCCTGGAAAATTAGCAAATTTAATATAGTAGATATTATATACTTTTTTAATTAGTTTTTTTATTAATTTTCATTCAACACTTACTAATGTCCTAAAATTGGTTTAATAAAATAAATTATATGTTCATAATTTACTTCTAGACATACTTTATTTTTGGAAAAATACATTAAAAGCATTCAACCATAAAGACATGTTGCTAAAACAAGAACAATTGCACTACCACTTACGAAACGCCTTACTGGAAGACTTTTAATTGGCAAGACTGATTGCCAAATGAACACAATTTTTCTACCAGCCATAGGAAAATTTATAGGTCATGGCCGACACATTATGACCAACAGCTTCATCATATCAGAGCACAAAGAAACTAGNATTTTTGACCCTCTTCTGGCAGAATAAATAAGTTGCCCGTCGATGTAAACATGAAAAATTCTGACCGCCTTCCCAAAGAACCAAAAGATGGCCTCCATCCACCCCTGCAAATGCCTACTTTAAGGCTGTCTCAGATGATTCCACATAAACAGCATATCAAACAGGTGCACAAACATGTTTTCATTGTCTGATGTACATCTTGGATAATTCAATCTGTACTATTATAATAAATTATAATACTGATATGTCTCTCCAACTATTCTCATCTCTTAATATAGACAATACCCCATAAGGCATCAGTTATTTTTGCCTTATTTGGTAACTGCACCATCCTGTTTCCTTTATATTTATAGCCTTTCGTTATTATTTCATTGTACAATCCAACAGCATGTAATTGCAAGAAATAATAATAATAATAATAATAATAATAATAATGTGATTATCATCAATTCATCATCATCATCTTCTAGAATATGTTCAATGGTAATGTATGGAGTGGGAAATATTTCAGTAGGTGATGTCCTCCCACTATACAAACCAGTGATACAAACCAAGTTAGAATTTTTTTCCTAAACTAACCAAAAAAGGTCACCACTAAAGCAAAATATACTAGATAAACAACCACATTAAAAACAATTTTTGAGTTGGACTTCGTTCCAGAACTTCACAATTATTGTTATTTATACTAGGTTTTCTATGACTAGAATAAGAAACTTAAAAAACCAAGAGGAATGGCACAAATTTCTTAATTTGCTGAAACAGTAATGAACATGTAAATGTGAAGTCAGACCTCTAGCAGTATCTGTGTCAAATATGTGAGTTTAAGGGAAGTGTGTTAGTTGTGACAGTGTGTTAGGTGTGCCACTGAGCACAGTATATTAAGCATTCCAATGAGCACAATGCGTTAGGTGTGCTAATGAGCACAATGTGTTAGGTGTGCCAATGAGCAGTGCTAAGCTATTGTGTTAGGTGTAATAATAACCAATATGGCAGTACATGTAATTCTGGGCAGGGCAGGTTGTGGCACATCATTGTATCACTTACATCAGTCTTCTCCAAAATAATAATAATAATAATAACAACAATAAAATACTTATCACAAAATGTCAAACTAATAAAAAACAACAACACAGAATAAATGGGTATAAACAAATACTGAATGAAGTGTTTTGTAAACATAGAATTTAAATGTAAATAACAGACATTAAGTCTCATATCATATTATTAGAGCAAAACAATAAAGGCCTGACTAGACGTATGGCTATCTAAGATATCAAAGATTGTTCTACTCTTATTGGTGGGTATGTTGAAAGGTCTCGACTTAAGTGAGTAAAGCTTCAAGTAAGCATGTGCTTTCCTTCATGGACAATATCATTTTTCTCCTAGACAACTTTTAAAAAATCGCCAGCATCACCTTTCACCTCCCTGCCTTTCCTGTATTTTTAATACATCATTTTTTCTCTCTCTTTTCCTCTCCCTCTTTTGTTGATATTTTTCCTTTCACTTCTACTTCCAAGACTCCAAAACTCTTTGTGTGGCTTCTCTATCTATCACACTCATGCTATAATAGTTACGATTTCAGTCTGGATTTCATTCATCCATTTTCTCATTTCTTTCCTCACATCTTTTCATGTTTTTATCTTGAGGTTGTAGAGTTTGAGTTTAAAGCCCAGTAGTTCGGTCAACATGGCAGAAAAAGCTGACAATATGACCACTTTGGTGATGTTGTAGAGAAATGGGTTTGCCGACAGTCCAGAGATCTTGAAGGGGCTTTCCAGCTCCTGAAAAGTAAAATTTAAGATCTTATTGAAATGGCTTTTACCATCAAATAAATTGGGGTGCAGGAAAAGAGTGGGAAAAGTGGCTTCCTGTAATTACAGCATTTTAAAGCCATTCCCTTGGAAAGAATTAATCAATCTTTTTTTTTGTCAGAAATCACAAATCAATGGCAGCTTTTGAAATATAACAACAAGAGCAGTGTCAGAAAAGACTAAAAAACCTCAATTTGCTGATATTGACTGTTAATTTTTGAATTTCAAGTATTAAGTCAGAAAACTGCAACAAATCATTTATGATGGCACCAAACATTTAATTGTCCTGGGGCTGCCTTCAACACCACCAGAATTTAATTTAAAATCTCAGAATTCCAAAATTCAGCAGAAAAGTCTCAACCCTGACCAAATATGTACCTTAAATAAGTCCTGTGCGAGCTTCAACACATTGTTAGCTAACATCAGTTCCTCTTTCTTGTGTGGTTTTTGCTCCATGTGAAGATACAGGTTAATCTGAAATTATACATGTTAAAACAAAACATCATATCCGACTGATTATCAGGAGGAGTTTAGGAAAATATAATTAATCTTGTTAATCTGTGTGAAACTTTTCCCCATTCCTTCACTTGACTTTTCTTTTTTTTAAACTGTCTTACAATAAAAGCAAGCTTTTGGTTCTGGAATGATATGACATGTGAAGACTATGGTCTCACTTGAAAGATTGAGACGAAGATTAAGTCTTTCAGTTATTAACCTGCTTGTCTATGCTAAAAACAAAAGAAATAACTCCCATCTGAGCTGTTGTTATGCAGAAACCATGATCACAGTAACTTTGACTACCTGTTCTGTAATTAACACAGACAGGTGTCTGTACTTCTTGTTAATTTTGCTGCCCAGCGTCATGAACCTCAGGAGGAACACGGACAGGGCCACAAACCACACAATCACCTCCCAGTTATAAAGGTGCTTGGGATACTCCTCACTGTCCTTTAGGAGCTACAAAGAAACACACTTTTAGTTTGGGTTACTGATAGTATCGGCAGTATAGATGAGAATGAACAATAATCATTATCATGGCAATTTAAAGGTAGTACAGGAAATATTTAAAAATGTTCCAAGGGCATATTTTCTATGTCTTCATATCCTGTAAATCATAATTTTTCAGAGTGGAAAGAAGTTGATGGCCTTGACTTGGTTTGTGTAATTTAAACAAGCTACTGACAATGGTCATAATATATCTTGAAGGTAAATTAATAGTAATACTAGTCTGCAAATATCTGAAATGTTCCCAAGTCATATATTTTATGTCTAAATGCCCTGCAAAGAAATCCAAGACCTGGAAGTGATAAAACCCTTCAATTTAAAGTATGGGGTGTTGATATTTCCTTCTGACGTGGAGAAGTGGAAGACATGGGGGTCTGAATATGTGGCTGTTCATATAGAACTAAGTCATTTAATGTGAAATGGTATAGAACATCAAATCCAAGTGCACAGACAGCAATAGCTATCAGTGTTAGAAATTAAGGCTGAACCGTCTGCCCGGGGCTGACAACTTTCAGAACGGGCTGAGATGTTTTCCTACCTGGCAGACATTCAGTCCAGCTACTTTTCAAGATGGCTTTACTTTCGGTCCAGCAACTAATTTTCCTAAGAGGCAAACACTGATAGCTATGATACAGGAGTTGGAATGCTGCTGACATTAACTTACCTGAAAAGACATCAGAGCCACTAGGATGATTTCAAGAAGAAATGCTGCAGACACTATCACATCCACTGAACGCTGAGGACCACGTTTCTGGAACGAGAAGTAGAAATGTAGTGCAAATATTATGTCACAGTGTAGTATGATACAAAACATTATGATTTGAAGATTATCATGTTCCACCTTGATTTTTACTTCAAGAGTAAGGATACATTTTGGAGAAATATTAAGATAGTACCATAATGAGGAACGAGGCCGAGACAAGTATACATTAGGGTCAGAGTCTCTCGGCGAAAGTGAGTTTTAGAACACGATCTTGATGATCAGTAAGCATAAGAAATGACTGGGCTACACATGAATGGCAAGTTAATCCATAGGGAATGTCCGATAACACTAAAAAGAAGAGGCAGTCAGGGAAAAAGAGAGAGAGAAAAAAAAAAGAATCAATATCTAGCAGTGGAGAAGAAAGCATGTCTTAAGTAGTTGTAATAAGGTAAAGGTGATGAGCAACTCTTAAAGTAGTAAGGATTTTATGTCAGAACAGTTCTGTTCAACGCCTGCGGTGCCACATTATATTATGAATAACAACAATTTGCAAATTGCATGCCGCCAGCAATTGCTCAAACGAGAACGATTAATACTCAGCAAGCATATATTATATCATAGTGTAGTATAAAATACAAAACATTATGATTTGAAGATAATCATGTTCAATTACTTTGATTTACACTTCAAGAGTAAGGACACAGTTTAGGGAAATGTTTTAAAAGATAGCATCATAATATGGTGCTAACCTTTAAAACCAACAAGACTAAAAACAAGAAGTGGCACAGACAAATGCCTACCTTTATGTAGGAGCGCAGTGACAACCATGCCTTTATGTTCCTCACTTTATTGAGGCGGAAATGCGGGAGATCATATTTCTTAGCTCGGCGGGTGGAAGTGAGGTAGCAGAAATGTTTAGCGTACATCAATCGCTGAAACAAAAAAGAAAAATAAACAAAAATAAAATAAATAAATAAAATAAAATAATAATTCAATAAAATAAACAATACTGTCATATAGCCTCTTACACAATACAAAAATTATCTAGTGAACCAGTAATATTGAACATTTGAAAAATTCTTGTGGACTCAAGAAATCGATTAGAGTGAAAGCTGACTGAAATGTGATTCAATTTATTTGTTGTTATCAACCAAAAGGAACTGATTTCTATTGCACTGCCTTGTTGTTTCACACTTTAATTGATTGTGCTGTGCATAATCTATTTTTAGGGACTTTTCCCAGACCCAATCATACTAAATGTGGATGGTTCTATATCTGAGGGGTTTCTCGCTAAATTGCAATCAGCTTTAGCCGCTTAGATGTCTGTCATGCCTACAGAAGTTGCTAGGGGGTATTAAGCAGCTTCGTTAGGCGTGACAGACATCTAAACTGCTTAAGCTGAATGCAATTTAGCAAAAAAAAAAAAAAAAAAAAAAAAAACTATGAGATGGATTGATCCTGTTAGATCAATCTAGGTATGGGAACCCAGTCTTATTCCTGGGTGTATTACCTCTTTTATGCCCATCAATAAAATATTATTTAGATTTATTTCAGAACTACCGTCTTTCTAGATATGATTACTATACTATGTATACTATGGCTTACCCTGAAACTTCACCAGATCATTTCTGAAATCATTAGTAAATAATACAAAGGTAATAATTAGTCAATTGTAAAATGCCTTTCTGAATTAATATTTGAAATAATTAAAAGAAACACCAATTATGAAAGTTAGTGGGCTGTTACCTGTTTAAATGTCCTTTCTGCCACAGACAGCAAGAAAAAGAAAATAACACACAGCACCATGCGTTGTAAAACTCCATTGAGAACAACAAATATCACCCTGCAAAACAAACCAAAACCAAACCAACTGTGACTGCAAATAAACAGGGAAATATTGGTGCATAATATGTTTTATTTAAAAAGAAAAGGTACATTGAAACAGACAGCGTGAGGGATCAGTTCCCAAAAGGGGAAGGAGAAGAAAAGAGAAGGGACAGATGCATTATTGCATCTTGAAAACATTCTTTTCACAATTGCCGATAAAGGCAACATAGAATCAGTTTTCTTATTTCTACTGTTACAGTAAGGTATATTATGATCACTATTACCAAAGTTTTGTCTTCAAAAACCATTTTTCAATTTTGCATCTATAATCGTCATTATTGAATTTTGCCTTTGGAAACCTCTTCTTATTTCTACATCCAATATCATTATTGTATTAATTTTGCCATAAGTTTTTTTTTCCACAAAATCCAATGCACCACCCACCTCCAGTGAGAGCCAAACAAGTCTGCTGCCAGGAGAAACCAGCTCTTCATAGATGTATACTCCAGCGCCCCCTTGTGGAAATACCACCTAAACCCCAGGGGGATGAAGGCCAGGACCAGAGAGACCCAGACACCGATGCTGATGAAGTCACGTGACTCTTGTTGGGCGTCAACTTTCTGTATAATAGCACAGCCTAAGTCTAAGGTTGACAGGTCGAGTTTTTTGGTGTCATTGCCTTCCCAAACCACACAGCTTACTAAAATGTCAAAGGAAAATAATGAATAAATAAATAAATAAATAAATAAATAAATAAATAAATAAATAAATAAATAGTAACTAGATTTGAATCCATTTGCTATGTGCTCTATGAGCTCAACAGGGAAGAAGCAGCTCTTAAAATGTCATGAAAACAAAACACAATAAATCAATAAATAAAATCAAAAATTAAATAAATAAAGCAATAAAAAATAACTAGATCAATTTATTTAACTTTTAACTTGCAATTATACACTTTGCATTTCAAATACTCTCGGCAGAAGGGGGGGGAGGGGGAAGAGAAGCAGCACTGATATACAACCACATCTTTTCCATTTCCATTTAAATTTATTCTTATAAGACCAAACCTCTCACCTCTATCTATGGGAGTGGCCAAGTCATTCAATGGAAATGATGGCTGAAATGAGACAACAGGTATGTTAAGATTGCAGGACTACCTGACCAACAAAAAGAGAGAGAGAGAAAGAGAGAGATGCTGAAGGCAAAAAAAAAATGTGAAATAAAGGAGAAGCATTAGCAGTGTTGTGATAACATCACTGACAGAATGAAAATTACATGAAATAATTACACCCTCAAAATGAGTACCTTCACTCTTTCTTTTTCTACAATTCTCACACACACACACACACACACACACACACACACACACACACACACACACGTTCACACACACTCACACACACACAGCCTACATACCAGTCCACACCCAAATGGGTCATCATGTAAAGTGACTCCCCCCTCAGAGTCTGAAGTACAGCTACTGGTGTCACTGGTGGCCACGTCAGAGTGCATGTTGTCATCCCAGTCCATCTCAGATATCTGACCCTACAGGAACAAACAGGCAAACTTTTTACTTGTGACTACATTAAAGGTACTCTCCAGGCACTTGAATATCTCCCAGTTATATTTAATTTTATATTGTTTTCTCTCTCTCTCTCTCTCTCTCTATGTCACACATGCACAGGTATTAAACCTTTCACTACATGAATAAAACTAAATATTTATAATCTGCTTTCTGGAAAAAAAAATGCATTTTTTTATATTTAAGGTCTAGTACCTCTAGTAGGTTGTTTCTGCCTTCATTTTTATTAATTTTTTTATTTAACAGCCATACTCAATAAGATATGGATGGACTTTGAAAAAAATTTAAGGTTACCTCAGACAAGAGCTAATTGAACGTCAATTACATTTTGGCAGTGGTCCATTCATTAAATCATTGTTAATAAGCAATTAATGGATCAATAATAAGAGCTGCGCTGTCTTGGCACAGCTTGCACTGTCTAAATTTCTGTTTTTAAATCAAAGTTAACATAAATGTACAAGGCCATACACCTACAGACTTTACCTTAGATAAAGCAGGTGTATTAGGAGTAGGGCAGTCTGGATCAGAATCACAGGAACTCATCACTCTAGTATCATTACTCTGCTTTAAAAGCAGTGTCTCGGGATGTCTTGGACGGTTTCTACTGGACAGAGCTGACCTCAACTGGACACTTGACCCTGCATCGCTGACCACGTCGATCTTTTGGTTACTCTTTCTCCTTCGTCTGAGATTCATCCCGACAAGGTTGCGTTTCTTGATTCCGACAAGGTCAATTTTGCCACAATGCATCTCCTGGTCTGAAAGGGGGATGTATTCTGTTTTCGGCCTGGTGCAACTACCTGCCCCGTTTCCAAAACTTATGTGAGGGGAGCTGCTGCCATTTTCGTTACCTTCCACCATATCTGGTGTCCCGGATCCCAAGGTACCACTCATGGCGCCATCTGGTGGTAGGTCTATAGGGACATCTTCCAAGGGCTCGGAGTTCAATGTTATCACTGGATCAGGGACGTGTGCTTTATGTTCTGGACATTCTTTTTCCTCCTGGAAAATTAGCAAATTTAATATAGTAGATATTATATACTTTTTTAAATGAGTTTTTTTATTAATTTTCATTCAACACTTACTAATGTCCTAAAATTTGGTTAAATAAAATAAATCATATGTTCATAATTTACTTCTAGACATACTTTATTTTTGGAAAAAATACATTAAAAGCATTCAACCATAAAGACATTAACAATTGCACTAGCACTTACGAAATGCCTTACTGGAAGACTTTTAATTGGCATGACTGATTGCCAAATGAACACAATTTTTCTACCAGCCATAGGAAAATTTATAGGTCATGGCCGACACATTATGACCAACAGCTTCATCATATCAGAGCACAAAGAAATTAAGCAGGCAAAGTGGAAAACAAAAAGCGAGGCGAAACTCCTTCAAACTGCTGCTGTGTTGTCCTACCTGTGACAGCTGGTCTTCTATACGACTTGATGTCCTGTTTCTCTGAACAGTGTCCACTTTCTGGTTCAGGGCCTTTCGATGCTTTATACCAACAAGATCAATTTTACCCTGTTCTTGATCCTTGTCAGAGGGGATGTAGGACCGCCCTGTGGCAGAGAAATATACAGTTAAAACCATACTTAATACACCTCTAGGTACAGCGTGTATTTATGTCCAACATTCATCATATTATCTAGGACAAGCTAACACTGCTTAAGGATGTTCTTCTATTGTGAAAAAAAGACATCCAAGAATAGATTAACACATTTTGAGTACTGTCATGTTGACAACTCTGTTACATGCTAACCTGACTTTGATATACAGAGATACGCTTGACTGAAGTTTATCCAGCCTTTAACAAACACATACACCACTCATGCATGCAGTTGAACACCCACTCCCCCCATACACACACACACATCTACCCGTGTCATATCCGGGATCTGAGCTCCCCTCTCCCTCTGTTCTCTTCTTTGGCTCATCAGCAGGAATTCGCAGTCCATTCAGTTCAAAATGGCCATCCTGAGGCAAAATGATTTCTCCTGCGAACTCCGTTATTGGCTCGAAGGGGTTCTCTGCTGTGTTGCAGGTTGTCGCGTCGGTGGGATCGTCAGATTTGTATTCGAAGTGTTCTGTTGAGAGAGTTTGGAAAGTGTCACATCTGACACAATCAGAGTTGTTGGCATTGTCACATCTACTGCAATCTGGATTGTCACATCCATCACACTGACCGTTGCTGCTGTGGTCTGACATGTCCCTGGCTGTAGTGCTGTCCTTTGAATGATCCTCTGTTTCGCTGTCGTCTAGACTACTTTCCTGCGGTTGGGGAAATACCTGAAAATTTCAATTTATTTTAATATAGTTTTTTTTTTGGCAGAAAAATTAAAAAATAAAATATAATCAATAAATTGTAATTCAAACAACTAAAATAATAATTACAATTAATAAAATAACTGTCAGTGACTTGTTTTTATTATAACAGCACCAAAAGAAAAACATTATACATATAACTGTCACTGCAACAGTAAAAAGTAAAATAATTTCACTTAATTCTGAAAAAAATTAATACATAAAGAAATACTCCAGCTCCTACCAGTCAATCTTACCTGTGCTCTCTCCTCCGTGTCTGAGTGGTCAGTTGTGTCTGTAGAGATAGGCTCAGTTAGATGGGCACCAAAGCCCTCCCTAGCCAGGCCAAGACCTGGTACAAGACGGTCCCTCTCCACTCCGCTTATCACCTCTTCTTCCTCCTTCTCCTCCTCCTCATCTTCCTCGGTGTGTACTCCGTCCTCTCTGTTCACAGTGTAAGCTGGCAAGTCTAGGTAGAGATCTCTTACCCTGTGGTTCTCACTGGAGTTTAGTGCCCTGTGATTATCATTAGCAGCTGAACCCTTGGGGTCAGCAATGGCATTTAATACCCTGGGGCCACCATTGATGTTTAGTTCTCTGGGGTCAGCCTTGGGGTTTAATACCCTGGGGTTGTCCCTGGTAAAGGACACCCTGTGAGGCCCAGATGGCACTGGAGGCTGTGTCTCTTCCAGAGAAAGTTCCAAGTAAGCACTGGGCTCTGCCTGCCCGCCATCTTCAGGTTCCACCAAGCCTTCATCTTCTCTCAATTTAAGTCTGGTCTCTCTTTGGCTTTGTATATCAAACTGACAAAATGTGACAGTGGGACTGTGCTCCTCGAGGACAGTATCGTTAACACGCTGATTGTAACTAGCTGATTGAGTATTCGGAAGGTCCAAACCGTTCAGATCCTGATCAACTCCAGCCTCATCCTGGTCTTCACTGTTGCCATGGATACCATGCACCAGGTTACCACTGCTATGGTTTTCCTTTGCCAGAATCTCTTCTACAATGCAGTTTTGATTTGGTTTGTCAGAGCCTGTCATTTTCAGAGACGGTTTCCTTCTTCTCTTTTGGTTTTCGCTGTTCGTGCGTGATTGTTTACGCGATGAGCGTTCCACTAATGGCGAGTTATCAGAATGAGTGATGGCCTCTTCCTCCATGGCTGTCGTCTCCTGAGAGCCACCACTCTCATTGGGGAAAACTTTGTACTTCCTGCGCTCTTGTTTCTTCTTCTTTTTTGCATTGCTTCCCCTGAAATCAGACAGAACAGATATTCAAAACTGCTCATACTCAACCCAATACATTTTTGATTCATTCCTACTAATTAAAACAAAATATGATTTTAAAAGATCACCCATTCTACTCTGAAGTAAGCTGCTATAATTAATCCAGAATACTGTAAGGATTGTGAAAGGGACAGGACAAGCAAATAGTCCTCTAACAGAATGAACTGTACAGAGTGTTAAATTAAAACTGGACTACTTACTGTTTTTTAATCTTCTTCTGCATCTTCCTCCCTTTGTGAGTGATGTGTGTAGAGATGATTTGTGAGTGGACCACACCCAGAAATAACATGAGGAGCATAGGGCTGGCCACTTCACTGATGGACACAGACTGGACAGTGGTCAAAATAAATAATAATAATAGTATGATTTTGATAAATATGAAATATAAAAACATTCTTCAGAAATTTACTTCTGTCACAAACTTTTAAATAATGAATATGTCAGCATATAGTATGTTTAAAATATAACAAGGCAGCAAAGCTGTCAAATGTACAGACAAAGAACAGAAAATAAAGATGCAAATAAGTGAAAAATTAAATTTTCACAAAAAACTGTTAAATTGCCAGAAAAATTTACCAAACAGACTGCGTTGCCTATTGAAGCTGTATGTTAGACCCATGTTTCTTTCCTGTAAGTTTGAGAACAGTAAGTGACATGATTTCCCTTAAATGGTCATCATAGGAGCAGTGCCCAAAATAGGGGTTTCTTCAAATTTTGATGCAACATTACATAATGTTTAACAGCATAATGACAATCAAATGTTATTAATAAAATATTAGTAACATGGACATTCAGAAAATGTGACAAGCAAAAGTCTTCAAGATCATGGAACTTTAAAGTCACACCTTGAAAATGCCAATATGTGAAAAATTAAATTTTCACAAAAAACTGTT